CCCTCGCGCGGACTGTCCGCGAGCGCGCGGCGGGGCGGGGCGGGGCCGGAGGGGGAGGGCGCCCAGCCCTCCGTGACGTCACCCAGGCGTCTCGGCCAATCGCACGCCCGCCTCGGCCTCTTAAAGTCGCAGGCGAACCTTCCCTTAAGCAGGCGGACAAAAAAAAAAGAAAAAGAAAAAGAAACCAGAAGCCACGCCTCCGTTCCGCCCCACTCTCACTCTCCCACTCCCTCCCCCCAGGCGAGGGCGTGGCGAGACCCAGGCCCCGCCCCTTTCCTGCTTGGGGGAAGGGGGAGGAGTCGGAGCTTCTGGTCCCCGCCCCCTGCCCCGCCTGGCTCCGCCCCTGCCCTGGGAGAGCGGCTCCGAGCTCTGCCGGGGGCCTGGCCTGCTCAGCCAGCGGCGGGTGCGGGTGGGGTGGGAGGGAGAGGGGTGGGGGTGAGGGTGGGGCTCCCTCCCAAGCCGGCTGTCCTCTGCCCAGCCGGGAACTGAGGTTCAGAGCTTCTTCCTGGTTTGCGCTCTCGTGGGCGCAGGGGTTTGAACGCGGGCCCCACGCGGGCCCCGGGCCCTCGGGGCTCTAGGCCCGCGCGGTCCCCGGGCCCTCGGGGCTCTAGGCCCGCGCGGTCCCCGGGCCCTCGGGGCTCTAGGCCCGCGCCCTAGCACCGTGAGCCACAGCGCCACTGATGGCTTTTCTTTTCCCTCGTGGTTCTTTGGAAGACCAGAGTCTCACAGACGTTCCTGCCCGGGCTGGCTTCGAACTGCGACCCTCAGCTCTCAGCCTCCTCAGTAGCTGGGATTGCAGGCGTGACCGCCGGCGCCCGGCTCCTTCCCGGTGGGCGTGGAGGTCACTGTCCCCATTTTATTGATGCAGAGATGACGGTTGAAACCCGGAGGTGGGGATTTCCCTAAGGCTGTGGCCGGACGCGAACATCCCCGGGGCCAAGTGAGGGCGTCCTGGGGCCAGAGAGGAAAGGAAATCGCAGTATTTTTGAATCACTCAGTCTGGGGATTGGAGCCCCGCTGCAATTCAGCTTCCTTCATTTAGTGCTAAGGGCTGGAGGGCTGGGACCCCAGGCGGGGACCCATCCTGACAACGCTATTACTGACTAGAGAGAGATGGCAGGTGAAAGCTAGCTGAGAAAAGGAAACCCTGAAGCTCACCTCACTCTGTATTTACGAATAATAATAAGTTAACACCCAGCTGCTACCAGAACCATTGCCTAAGGGCTACGGGTTGCCAGACAGCAAACCCAAGCACTTTCACACAGCTCCAAAAGAACCAAGGCCAAGCCAGCTTCAGAGCTCATGTTTGTAATGTCAGCTACTCTGGAGGCTGAAATCTGAGGACCGTGGTTCAGAGCGAGTACTGGTAGGAAGAAAGTCCATGAGACTCATCTGCAATCACACAGAGAGAGAGTTTCTTTTTCTTTTCTTTTCTTTTTCCGTAGTGGGTCTTGAACTCTGGGCCTGGGCACTGTCCCTCAGCTCTTCAGCTCAAGGCAAAGCACTCTATCACTTGAGCCACAGCGCTACTTCCAGTGTTCTATTGGTTTATTGGAGATAAGCGTCTCAAGGACTTTCCTGCCTGCCCAGTTTGGCTTTGAACCTTGATCCTCGGATCTCAGTAGCTAGGATTACAGGCATGAGCCACCAGCGCCCTGTTCTAAGTAAGGGCAGGAAATGACTTGTGTTGGGTTTTTTTTCTCCCAACTTTGACCTTATGCTAAACAAATGCTTGCTAACACTTTCACCCCGTGGGACTCTCCACTCTGAAATGCTTTTCATGAATGGATCTCAAGAACCTGTGGGAGGTCTGGGAAGGTGGCTCAGTGGTAGAGTGCTTGCCTTGCATGCATGAGACCCTGGGTTCGATTCCTCAGCACCACATAAGCAGAAAAAGCGGGAAGTGGGGCTGAGGCTCAAGTGGTAGAGTGCTAGTCGACAGCTGAAAAACTGAGGGACAGCGCCCAGGCCCAGAGTTCAAGCCCCATGACTGACAAAAGAAGAAAAAAAGAACCTATGGGAATCTGAGGGAAGCCCTCATCCATTCTCGGTGACACGGTGGCTGTCTGCCTCTGGACTCCAGCTCCTACTCTTGTAAGTAGTAACTTAAAAGGTGCTTTTGCTGGGTCCTAGGGGAATGAGCTGGAAGGCCTCCCTGCCCTGTGCCTGTGTCTTTGGGTCTGAGCTGTTCTCTATTCTTGGCTGCCTTGCCCTTGCACTCACCTTGGGCTCCGGGAAGAAAGAGAGGATTCTGTGAGGAAAGCATCTGGGGTGGGAGGCGAACTCTCAGATAGGCAGAACCTTCTTATCATGGCCAGGAAAACAGCCCCAACTCGGGAGACCCTGAGAATTCCTCCAGGTGATCTTCACCATCACTTAGATAAGGTCACCCAGACTATTTTAACTACGCATATCTTTCTAATCCCAATTTCACCCCCTAGTTCTACTCATCTATTCTCCCACCCAGATGGCTGGAGATGTGCTGGAGAGCTGTCTGCCTCCCGCTGCCCCCTGGTGCTGCCGGACAATAAACCTCCCTTCGCCCTCCCCTGGCTCTATTGGTCATCTGGGGGCTGGTGACTAAACTTAACTTGGGACTCCTGGACTTTGGGCTTAAAGCCTAAATATCTGATTTCTCTCCAACTAACCAGCAAAAGACCAGGAGTAGAAGTGTGCCTCAAATGTAGACCAGCCTTGAGTAAAAAAGCTAAGTAGGAGCACAGGACCTAAGTTCAAGCCCCAGTACTAGCTTGTGCACACACATATGCACACGCGTTAAATGAATAAATAATAAATAAACAGCAGTAGCTATTTTAAAATGTCAGCTAAAACAGTAGCTGGAGCCTCTATAGCTACAGATGAACCTGAGGCGGGAGGATCGAGCTCCAGTGCCAGCAATGAATAAATGGGTCTGGGAAGACCAGCATGGCGGCACATGCCACATCCCGCCACTGGGAAAACTAAATCAGGAGAATGGCAATGTCCAGGCCAGCCTGGACTGTCCAACAAAAACTCCTCCAAAAGAGGAGGAGAAAGAAAGAAAGGGGGCTGGGAAGGTGGCTCAGTGGTAGAGCACTTGCCTTGCATGCCTGAGGCCCTGGGTTCGATTCCTCAGCACCACATAAGCAAAAAGAAAAAAACCGGAAGTGGCGCTGTGGCTCAAGTGGTAGAGCGCTCGCCTTGAGCTGAAGAGCTGAGGGACAGCGCCCAGGCCCAGAGTTCAGCCCCACGATCGACCAAAAAAAAAAAAAAAAGCTGAGGGACAGCTCCCAGGCTTTGCTTTCAAGCCCAGTACTGGCACAACCAAGAACAAAAATTCAAGCAATTGTAGTTGAGCCACACTCAGCCTGTTTTGCATTGGATTTTTCTTCAGCTAGCAACCCCCCCTCCTTTGTGTTACTCCTGATGCATGAGCTCAGGGCTTGAGTGCTGTCCTGGAGCGTTTTTTGCTGAAGGCTAGTTATCACAGTTCCACTTCTGGCTATTTTGGTGCTTAACAGAGACTTTCCTGCCTCGGCTGGCTTTGAACCCTGATCCTCAGATCTGAGCCTCCTCAGTAACTAGGCATGCGCCACTGGTGCCCAGCAGATAGAGCCTCTTGATTTTGCCTGGACTGGCCTTGAATTGAAGTTCTATCTCTCCAGAGTGGCTGGAATTGCAGGCATGTGGCATCACGCCCGGCTCAAATAAATATTTGAACGTTAATGTTCACAACAGCACTATTCAAAATAGGCCAAAGGTGGGAACAGCCTACCCGTAAATGGGCTGAATGGATAAACAGGAGGTCTGTCCATCAGATGGAGCACTCTTCTGTCAGAAAGACTGAACTGCAGCACTGAAATGCACCCGTGGGTGAACCTGACGGGAGGCTAACTCTGCAGAAGCCGGAAGCAAATGCGTGTGGCCCGGAGGGGACGCTGTCTCCCAGGCCCTGCGCGGGGAAATCACTCCACACGGACCGGAAGCCGAGCGGCGGTATCAGGATGGGGGACAGGATGAGAGTGAGGGACTGGAGAGTAGGGAGTTTCTTTTTCGGGTGAACTAAAGAGGTGTTGGCACAACATAGCGAAGGTTCTACGTGCCAATCGCTGTGCACTTGAAAACGGTGACAGCGTTTTCTCCCGTGGGCCCTGGGGAGTGAGCCCTGGGGCTAAGCCCGGCTCTGCATCAGGAGAGCGGCTGTCTCCGGTGCACCCCCCTCTGCCCCCCTTGACCTTTCTTGGGGTTTGCAGAGAGCAGAGGCCTTGGGCCGGGCCGGGCTGTGGGCGCAGGGAGCTGAGGCAGGCTGCTGAAGTACACCCAGGGGAAACTTGATTTTCCTGGGGCCTAAATTTAGTCCAGGGAGTTGGCCGTTCCGTCACTGCCTGAGCTCACGGCGTGGTAAACAAGTTCATGGCAAGGTCAGCGGAGTGGCTGCGGCACCCAGCGGCTCCCCAGCCTCTCACCTGTGCCGTTCCTGCGCCCCGACGGCGGGGCGCAGGCCCCGGGCCTGGGGGCCAGGAGAGGACCCTGGCGTGGGTCCAGTCCAAGCCTGGAACGCCTGGGGGTGGGGCTGCACAGAGGAGAGGGTGTGAAATGCGTGGCGACACGCCTAGCGACACGCGTGCAGCCCCCAAACACACTCCTGCGTCTGGGATCTGACGGGCCCTGGGTGGCAAAGGGATCCCCAGACTCAGGAGAAGCGGGCGTCAGGCAGACACCATGAGGGAGGGAACAAAGCTGGGGCACGCCCACAGACGTGCCTGTGCCCGCCCGCACCCCAGCTGCATGCAGCCCGCCGCCGCCGCCGCCTCCGCCGCCACCCTGTAGGGTGGCCACTTCTATCCGGCCCATTTTAGGAACCAGGAAACAGGAGGTGCACGGGGGGGGGGTGACTGGGGGTGAGGGGTGGCCGCCTGCCCAGGGCCACATAGTTAAGGACGCCAGCCAGGACCCTGGCTCAGGAAGCCCGGGGTGCCGTGTAGCCCGAGCTGTGAGGGGAGGGCAGGCGTGAGCAGCGTGCTTCCCTCGGGGACACTGGCCTCCAGTCGGAGCACCCCGGGGTGCTGCTGGCTTCCTTTCCTGCAGGGTCACCCCTCCTCCATCTGGGGAAATATCGGCCCTGAGAATTCCTGCTACATGTAGCTACACTTTAGTTCCATCCACCTGTGTGTGTGTGTGTGTGTGTGTGTGTGTATGCAAGTGTGTGTGTGTGTGTGTTGCTAGACAAGCACCATGACCAAATAGGTCTCCTGCAGGGCACAGGTTCCGTACGAACCTGCACAAAGGTACAAAGACACAGGGTGGGAAACTCCCTAGAGGACTGAGCATTTAAAAGAAAACAAAAATGGTGGCCATGCCTGTAATCTTAGCTTCCTGGGAGGAGAAGACTGGGAAGACCAATGGTTCCAGGCCAGCAAGAGATGGGGATAAGAAAGTTCTAAAGGGGCTGGGAAGGTGGCTCAGTGGTAGAGTGCTTGGCTTGTATGCATGAGGCCCTGGGTTCAATTCCTCAGCACCATATAAGCAGAAAAAGCTGGAAGTGGCGCTGTGGCTCAAGTGGTAGAGCGCTAGCCTTGAGCTGAAGAGCTAGGGACAGCGCCCAGGCCCAGAGTTCAGGCCCACGACCCGCAAAAAAAAAAAAAAAAAAAGAGAGAAAGTTCTAGAGCCGGGCGCTGGTGGATCACGCCTGTAATCCTAGCTACTCAGGAGGCTGAGATCTGAGGATCACAGTTCAAAGTCAGCCTGGACAGGAAAGTCAGTGACTCTTATTTCCAATAAACAACCAGAAAACTGGAAATGGTGCTGTGGCTCAAGTGGTAGAGCACTCACATTGAGCTGAAGAGCTGAGCGACAGCGCCCAGGCCCAGAGTTCAAGCTCCATGACTGACCAAAAAAAAAAAAAAAAAGGATCGGGATAAGAAAGTTCTAGAGACCCTATGCCAACCAATAGCTATGCACAGTGAAGTATACCTGCCAGTTATAGCAGGAAGAATATACTGGAGGATCATAGTCCAGGCCTGCCTGGGCACAAAGCAGGACCTTATCTTAAAAATAACCAGAAGCAGAATGCCGGTGGCTCACGCCTGCGATCCTAGCAACTCAGGAGGCTGAGATCAGAGGATGGTGGTTCAAAGCCAGCGCAGGCAGCAAGGTCTGTAAGATTCTTGTCTCCAATTAAATGCATACCAAGAAGCCAGAACTGGAGCTGTGGCTCAAGTGGTAGGGTGCTGGCTTTGAGTACAAAAGCTCAGTGACAGTGCCCAGAGCCTGCGTTCAAGCCCCAGGACTGGCACAAAATAAATAAAATTAAATAAAAAAGAATAGAGGGAGAGAGGAAAAAAAAAAAGGTCTGGAAGTGTGGCTCAAGTAATACAGTGCCTGTCCAGCCAGCGTGAAGCCCTGAGTTCAAACCCCAGTACTGGAAAAAAAAAGTAAGTTGGGAACCAATGGCCCCCAGGGGAAGTCCTGTCTGTCCCGCCCCGCGGCCAACGCTCTGCCCGCCAGGACCAGCCAGGGCTTTTGCTTTTGTGGTACTGGGGATGGCACTCTGGGGCTCACCCCAACCCTGGGCCACCACGCTGGTCCCCTGGTCCCGGAGGTGCTCTAAAAGGGGTGCTACAAACTCACGGGGTGCGGACTGGCCCAGTGAGGGGCCGCCTGCCGGGAGATGACAGCCGGGCTCCGCAGCCCCGCGCCGCAGCACTGGCTGCAGCACTGGTTTGTAAGGCGGCGGCGCCGGCAGGTGCGCTGTCCGCGGTCCTTTCCTGTCCGTCTCCACCTTCTAGACAGCTGGGGGTGAGCACCCTCCACCACACGCACCCACAGCCAACACTGAAACCGTATGCCAGTGTCGCCTTCCCTCCTTCCAAACGCACGGCGATGAACACCTGCAGCAGCAGCACGGCTCTGTACGGCGATGCTCTCGCTCTCCGGACATGCGGCCGGGGCCTGTCACCCGGCCCAGGCCTGTCATCCCCACGCGGGAGGGAGACGTGGGGCTCACGAGCGCCACAAACAAGCAAACAAGACGTATGCCAGGGCCACCATGACACGTCCCCACGCTGACAACTGACTTTCCAATGGCGACGGAAAACAATAGCTAGCTATATTCCGCCTCCCCGCACCGCCCCCGGTTCAGGCCCTGCCCGCACCCTGGCCCTCCGCTGCTGTCCTGTGCGCTGAGCTGCTCTGTCCTGTGCGCTGAGCTGCTCTGTCCTATGCTCTGAGCTCTTTAGTGATGTCACCCCCAGCTGCTGCCTGCCTCATTCCCCTGCCTGGGGAAGCACGGCGGCCTTCGGAGCTCATCACACTGGAAGCCCAAGCTCCTCTCTGACCATGTTACTTTGCTTTTATTTTACTTTATGTGGCACCGAGGAATCGAACCCAGGGCCTCATGCATGCCAGGCAAGCGCTCTACCATTAAGCCACATTCCCAGCCCCCCCTCCCCCGTGTTGCTTTTCTAGACTTCTATCCACTCTTCTCCCATCACCCCCACCCCTGCTCCTGCCTCAGGGCCTTGGCACTGCCTGCTCCTCTGCCTGCAATGCTCAGTTGGGTCGCCTCAGCGGGGATACATTCTCTTACCTCTCTTCTGCTGTCATGGTATGGGGCTGGCATGTGACAGGGCCTCCCTAAATACCCGTCCCATGACTGACTTCAGGCTGGCTGGAGGGTGACCCCTGCACATCCCTGCCCCAGAGGGCAGCGTTGTACCTTCAGTCCCGGGGTGCTCCTTCCCGTCGGTCTGCACCTCGTCGGCCTTGGCTTCGGCGCCATCACTGGGCACGGCTGTGGTGGGCTCTGGAGCGGGGCTGGAGTGGCTGCTGTTCTCCTGCTTGATGGGGGAGGCGTCCGCTATGGAGCTCTGGTTGCTGTTGTCATCTGTGTGGGGGAAGAGGGCGCAGATGACATCGGCAGCAGCGGAGAGGCAGGGGTGAGGCTCAGCCGCCCGTGCCTCAGTGCTTAGAGCCCGGCCGAAGCTCTCCCAGGAAGGCGCAGGTCGGCCGCCAGCTCCTGGCTGTCCGGGCTGCCCTGGCTCCTGTGAGGCACAGGATGCTGAGCGCGGCCTGGGCCGCCGCTGCCTGGCTCCCGCAGGGAGCACAGTGTCCAGAGGCCCGACGTGTCCTTTATATTACTATTATTGTTATTTTGCCGACGTATTTAAAATATCTAATTCTGGGCGAAGACTGCCAGAAAATGTCTGCATGGAACCACAAAGCAATATGAAGAACAGACATGATCCACGAAACCAGAACATTCCACACCTCTAGACTGACTTCGGTTACTGCACAATAACGGGGGAAGGGAGGTGTGGCTCGGTTGGTGGAGCGCCAGCCCGTAGAAGGCAGGAGGCCTTGCACACGCGCACACACTCAAAGCAAGAAAGGAGGGATCAGGGAAGATTACCGAAGATTAAAGAAACTTGAGAGAACAGAGGACGAAATATGACACATGGACATAACTTGGGTCCGCTTGGAATGTGCCCGCTGTACACACTGTGGAGCCATTGGGAAAATCTGCATATGGTCTGGGCTTTTCAAGCTATTACAGAATTACTGCTGAGTTTGTGAGACGTGATCGTGGCACAGCGGACACAGAGAAATGCCACTGGCTGGAGTGCACGCAGGAAGGGACCGGACGGTGCGGTGCGGCCTCCGACATCGGGCTTCCGAGTGCTCGCCGCAGGCTGCCCGCGGCCCTGCAGGCTGCCCTCTATGCACAAGGGCAGCACATGGCCTCCTGTTTATTTAGAAAACTTCACACACTAGAAAAAAAAATGGATGCAGCAAACATGGCCTGGTGTTTATAAAACTGCAGATACCCAAGTGGTCACTTAAAAAGTATCACTATTTAGCTGGGTGCGGTGACTCACACCTGTAATCCCAGCTACTCAGGAGGCTGAGACCTGAGGATCGAGGTTCAAAGCCATCTCAGGAGGGAAAGGCTGTGAGACTCTGATCTCCAATGAACCACCAGAAAACCACAAGTGGCGCTGTGGCTCAAGTAGTAAAGCATTAGCCTTGAGTTGAAGAGCTGAGGGACAGCGCCCAGGCCCAGGGTTCAAGCCCCACAACAACAACAAAAAAAATCACCGTCATCTGAGGTCATCTTTTCCAGTCACAGTGCACCTAGAGTCAGGGAAATTAAAAAAAAAAAAAAAGCCCCCAACATTCCTGGGTACTACTCTGTACCAGGCTCTGAGCACCTTGTTCTTCTTGGTTTGGGGGCAGTACTGGGGCCTGGCTCTCTGAGCCTCAGTTTCTTCATCTATAAAATGGAACCTTGCTATTCATGCTGTGCTGTGCCACCTTCTTAACCGTAGCTGTTAAGACTCAAAAGCTTTTTTTTTTGGTTGGTCGTGGGGCTTGAACTCTGGGCTTGAGCACTGTCCCTGTGCCCTTCAGCTCAAGGCGTGTGCTCTACCGCTTGAGCCACAGCGCCACTTCTGGTTTCCTGAGTGGTTTATTGGAGACGAGTCTCATGGACTTTCCTGCCTGGGCTGGCTTTGAACCTCAATCCTCAGATCTCAGCCTCCTGAGTAGCTAGGATTACAAGCATGAGCCACCAGCGCCCAGCTGACTCCAAAGCAGCTTTTAAGCGGTTACTGACTTGTCACGGTGACTCTCAGGCAGTGGGTATTGCTGGGCACATCCCATGGATTTAAATGCGGTGGAGGTTGAATGAGTAGCCCCGGCTCTATGGTATAGCCTGGCCTGGTCGCCTGACCTCTGTCCTACAACGTCCCCCCCCCATACCCACCCCCACCCCGTCCAGCCTCCAATCCCCAGCCAGGCCACTCTCCCAAGCCCCACTACCTACACACACATAAAAAACAAAACAGAGCATTTATGCGTGAATCTGGCTTGTGGCTTTCTGTAGGGCAGGAACGAGCGGGAGGGGTTTGAGGGCTCACTGTGGCTGGCCAGGAAGCTGGTGTTCTGAGCTGGGCTGGTTGACATGTGCGTGTGGGTTGCGGACATTTCATGAAGCCATATGAGGAAGAGAAAACAACACCAGCAAGGAGGAGACCCCAGGACACAAGTTAAATCATGCTACTGGACTACACTGCAGAGGACACAAGTCACAATTGTGTGTGTGTGCGTGTGCGTGCGCACAGTGTGCGCGCGTACGTGTGTGTATACAAACACTAGGCCTTGGCCTCAGGGCTTCTTGCTCTGGCTTAGCTTTTTTGCTTAAGGCTGGTGCTCTATTACTTGAGTCACACCTCCACTTGATAGTTAACTAGAGATAAGTCTCACAAACTTCCCTGCCCAGCTGGCTTTGAACTCTGATCCTCAGATCTCTCAGCCTTGTGAGTAGCTAGGATGACAGGCGTGAGCCACGGGTGCCTGTGGCTTTCAGGCTACAAGCTTTAAAACCAAGGCGGCCAGCAAGCCGGGCAGGCAGGGTGGGTGGAAGGCGCTGCCGGCGCTGCTGAGGTGAACTGGACGTCAGAGCCCAGTCCAGAGTGTGCCAGTAGCAGAGCAAAACGGAAGTGGTATCCCAGCCTGGGAGGAAAAAGAAACATATACCCTCCAACCCGCGCCTGGGCACACAGGGCCCATGGAAATGTCTGTGAGCTTGGTCTCGAGTGGAGAGAGGGGCTTGTATTTATATCCCTGGTTTCTCTGTGTTTCTTGGCCTGGTGCACTGGGGTAAACAAACTTGCCCTCCTTCACGGAAGCCTTCTCCTTGGCACAGAGGCCTCTCGCTCTTGCCCAGCCCTCCTACCCCTTGCCTGGAATGTGAACAAACCTGCTGGAAAAACAAAAACACAACTGAGAGTGTCGCAAAGGCTGGGCGCGCGCGCGCAGGCGCAGAGCCGCGGGCAGAGGCTCTCCGCAGCGCTCACCGTGCATGTCCATCATCCCCGGAGACGAGCTGTCCTCCGGAGTGGTCACTTCCGAGCCGCACTTCTCGTCTTTACCCTTCTTCTTATTCTTGTTTTTCTGGAGGGGAAAATGGGAGCAGAAACCAGGTCACCAAGTTGTGAGTGTGTGTGAGTGTGTGTGTGCGCGTGTGCACAGAGGCACACATGCCAACCCCGGGGAGTGGTAGGAATGTCGGATCCCTCTGGTCAACTTGGAGCCCCCAAGTGTAGGCAGCGCGGGCCGTGCCCACGCTGGAATTGGTTTCTGGGGCCAGGCCAGCTACCGTGCCCTGCAACGAATCCTGTCTGTCTGTGGGGCCATCACCTGTGGCCTGCACACCACACAGCAGAATGGCTGCTTCTCTCGGGAAAGGCCACCCACTGCCCCGTCTGAAGCCATGCCCAGAGGAGCCCGGGACCGGCCCCCTCCGCCGCCCCCCCCCCGCCAAAGCTCTGGCAGCCCGGCCCCCCGGGGGATAGAAAACCCAGAGGGGTGAGGGTGAAGGAGACCCTTTTGGTGCCATCCTATTTGCATCTTTTTTTCCATCAGTGCTAAGAATCATACAGGGCCGTGCACATGCCGGGCGGGCACGCCACCAGAGCCGCAGAGAAGCATGTTAGAAACCACCGCTGTCCATTAGCTACGCAGCCTGAGAGCTGAGCATCGCGGCTCAAAGCTAGACCAGGCAGAAGAGCCTGAGAGACTTCTTCTTTTTTTTTTAATCTCCAAAAAGCCAAAAGTAGAGCTGTGGCAACAATGTCAGTGGTAGAGTGTCAGTCTTGCGCAAAAAAGCTAAGGGCCGAGCCAGGCTCTGGTGGCTCACACCTGGAATCCTAGGTGGCTGAGATCTGAGGATCATGGTTCAAAGCCATCCCAGGCAGAAAAGTCTGTTGAAACTATTACCTCCAATAAACTATTCAGAAAAAAAAAAACCAAACAAACGTAGAGCTGTGGGTCAAGTGAAGGGGTAGAGCGCTAGCCTTGAGCACAGAGGCTCAGTGACAACACCCAGCCCTGAGTTCAAGCCACGCAACCGACCAAAAAAAAAAAAAAAAAAGCTAAGGGTCAGTGCCTCGGCCCTGAGTTCAAGGCCTAGGACCAGCACTAAATTTTTTTTTTTTTTTTAGCTTTTTCTGCTTATGTGGTACTGAGGAATCAAACCCACGGCCTCATGCATGCAAGGCAAGCGCTCTACCACTGAGCCTCCTTCCCAGCCTAGTGAAAAAATTTTAAATTAATTCATTAAAAGTAAAAGAGTTGTAATTTAAAAAAATAAAACAGTGTTACTGTATAATAATTGGGTACTGTCTACAAGAACAAAGGGTTTGTCACTTCACATCGTGGATTCCAGCCCCAGCCTTCCAGGGTTCTGAATCTACCATCTGGGGGCAGGGACCAGGAATCTGCATTTTAGTGACTGAGCTGGGCTGGCCTGGCACAGGGGAAGGAGAGAATGGGCAAAATGGAGTACTCTACCTCCTGGCTCAGAGGGGAGACGGGTTAGCACCGTGCCCTCTCCAGGTGACAGACTGCATTTGCTCAGCATAGAAACGTCACCAAGCACCCCCCAAAAAAACCAAAACAAAACAGGAGCACCAGCCCTGCCCAGCGCGCCTGCCCGGCCCGCAGCTCTGCCCCGCACTCCGGCGGCCGGTCTATTACATTTTCTCCTTGGTCATGTTCCACTTGGCACCTCCCTCATGTCTGTTTCATGCTATTCTATAATTATCTTCCCCAACGAGATTAGACATTCCTTGAGAGCAGGGAACACATCTTCTCCAATGCAACAGGCGTTTCTCTACCACCTAACAATGGCGAGGCCAAAGCCAGGAGCCGGCAGCCAGGAGCCGGGCTGCCCTGCTCGCCCGTTAGAGGCTCACGGAGGGACTGAGGCTCCCAGCAGGGACAGCACAGGCCGGCCAGCCTGTGACAGATCTCACAGTCTTAGCCCTGCTTGGAGCCCCAAGACTTGTTAGGCCAGAAAGTGAAGATGGCAGAAACGGCCACTCCAGCTCCCTCTAGTGGACGAGGCCAGCCAGACTTCCACATCCCACCGGGAACGGTTCCAGTGCCCCTGCTCCCTGTTCCCACCCCGCCCCGCCCACCCAACTCCACCATCAACCCCAACCATCAGAAGGCCCATGACCCTGGGAAAGTGGCTTCACCTCTCTAAGCCTGTGTCCTCCCTGACCTCTGAGGAGAGATCTAAAGACGATCAACTCCACAGGTGCAGCCTGAGAAGTGGGCAGTTCTGTGAAGCCTGGACCCAGGGCTGGGAGGACGGTCAGTGCTTAGTGCCACAATGGGGAGGGGGGCAGCCCTGTACCGGGTACGCTCCCACAGGCAACCCGGGCCTCAGCACAGAAGACACGGCTTACACCCCGGAGGGTGGGGCCTTGAGGGGTCGGACACAGGTCCAGCAGTCTAGACCCAATCTGGGCCCTGGCGCCTCCCGGCGGCACTGGCAGCGGGTGGCAGGCTCCCCTTCCATGGGCGGCCCCACCGCAGGAGACCAGCCTCACACTCACATCGTCAACCTTCGGCTCTGTCACGGGGACCCACTTGTAGATCCGCAGGGACGTGTCACCAACAGTCACCCACTTCTTCTCCCTGCAGAGGAGGAGGAAGAGCCTGTGATAGGGCTGCAGGGTCCGCCGCCCTCCTCCCTGGGGACAGCGCAGGTCGTGGCTCCCCCGCGGTGGCCAGGGCAGCGGGGCGGAGCGGGTGCTGGAGGACCATGCTCGCCCTGGACAAGCCACAGGGTAGGAGGAGCGCACGGCCACCCCTCGCCCCCCCCCCCCGCTGGCTAGAGTGCCAGAGGCTGGCGGCGGTGGCTGGGGGAGGCCCACCCTCCGTCCAGGGGACAGATGCCAGGGCCCCCGCTGCGAGGCAGGCTTACGGATGAGCAGAAAATGACACGCTGTGAGAAGGCAAGGTGGGGGGACAGCAATCGCTCGCTCCCCCCTGCCACTCGGCCTTCTAGATGACTGCGTGCCCTGCCCCCCCGTCACTCCCGCGCATCTGAGGTGCTTGGGGGCACCTCTCCACCACCATCTCGGGGGGGGGATCTGCTCCCTATCTTCGAGGAGCCTAGTGAGTCCGGATGCGCCCTGACACGCAGGCACAGCACAGGGCCACCGAGGGCCCCCCAAGGAAGCTCAACTCCATCCTGCTGGAACCCAGCGCTCCATGGCCCGAGGACGGTCTCCTTGCTTGGCTCTGCCCGCGTGCGTGTGCGGCCCTGGCACGCCGCCCCCCTGCCGCCCCCCACCTGTGTCACCGCAGACTTTTAGGGGCCCAAGCACAGCTCCGGCTTCTATACAGGTCTAAGTGGCAGCAAATGTCACCTCCCCACCTGACAGATAGACACCGGGGCACGTGGAGGCGAACTCGTCTTTCCAAACCTTTGATTCTGTGCTTTGTTTTGTGGGAGACCCTGTCAGGCCCCAGCCTTGCCCCTTTTATTTATTTTTTTGGGTCCAGTCGTGGGGCCTGAACTCTGGGCCTGGACGCTGCCCCTCAGCTCTTCAGCTCAAGGCTAGCGCTCTACCACTTGAGTCACGGCGCCACTTCCAGCTTTTTTCTTTTTGTTTATGTGGTGCTGAGGAATTGAACCCAGGGCCTCATGCATGCAAGGCAAGCGCTCTACCACTGAGCCACCTTCCCAGCCCCAGCCCTGCCCCTTTTAGAAGAGAGTGACTTCATCAAGGCAGGTGATGAGGGGTCCCGTGTGTCCCCCAGCCCCCCAGCTTTCACCATCTCCACTGACTCATCCGCCGTCGCTCAGCTCGGTGACTGGCAGTGCCGCGACCACCGCGCCGTCCCGAGCCCAGGCCCACCCCGCGCCAGCCTCCACAGCAAGCCCGGCGCACACAGGCCTCGTTCTCAGGAACTCCCAAAGGGCCAAGGGAGGGCCCGCTGTCCCCAGGGCTAGGTAGATATTGAAGTGGGAGGTTGAGGGAAACTGTGTCAGTAGGTGACAAACAGAAACTGGTTCAGGTGCCAACTCCAGAGTCCACCAGCAAGTCTACTGCCCGAGAAAACGATGGAAGCCGGACAAACAAGCCCGGACTATTAGAATCCCACACAAATGGCCAAGGCCACTCCCTACCCCCCAGCCTGGGCTCAGGAAATCAACAAACTCAAGACGCGCACGCGCAAAGCTCTGGACTTCACAGGGGCACTGGCCAAGGTGTCTGAACTTCCTGGGGGCTTCAGGCACTGAGGGCTGGCCACGAGCTGAATAAAGCCGGTTTCTTCCAGATCCTTCTACTTGCGCCGGACCATCTGTCAGTGGAGCCAGTCCCCAAGCCAACCCAGGGATGGAACAGGCTCTTTGGGATGTTTATTGTTTTTTGTTGGCCACAGGGCTTAACCCCAGGGCTTGGGTGCTGTCCCTGAGCTCTGTTTAGTCATGGCTAGTGCTCTACTACTTTAAGCCACTAGTCCACATCTGCTTTTCTGGTGGTCAACAGGAAATAAGAGTCTCATGGACTTTCCTACCCGGGCTGGGCTGGCTTTGAACCATGATCCTCAGATCTCAGCCTCCTGAGTATGGAGGATGACAGGCGTGAGCCACCAGCCCACCGCCCTCAGGGGCATTGTGGGATGTGAACATGTTGGGGGCTGCAGGACAAAGGCAAGGGTGCTTTTCAGAAGCTGACCTTGGAACTGACCTCTGACTGACTTGGTCAGTGGCCTCTCTGGGAGAGGCTGGGGCTGGGCTGGAGGTGCTGAGGGAGTTCTGGGCTCGCAGATGTCAAGCCAGCACATGGGCTCAGAGAAGCAGGGGAGGCTTCCTTCCCACACTGCCCCCCCCCCCCGCATCCAGGCCTTCAACCCAGAATGCAGCTGCTCCCATGGGGCGCTAGGCGGCTCCCATTACCCTAAGCGAGGGTGACAAACACAGCCCACAGGGATGTTTGCTCTGGCCCGTGCACTACTTTTAAAAATTTGATTTGATTGCCAAACTTAAAGACGAAGAAAAAAAGACACCAGATATAAAGGCAATCTGGGCCAGCATGCCTGCGGAGCGACGGCTGGCTGCAGATGCACACACCGCTCCGCAGAAACCCTCCGCTTGCAGTGTGTGCGCACGGGGGCTGTGCCCCAACAGAGCTCCGAAGCTGCCCAGGGCGCCCCCCGAGCCCTCCTGACTGGATGGCCCCTTCCTGGCCACCTTGGCCGCAGCGCCTCTCTCTTCCCATCAGACTTCCTGGGCTGAAATGGGGTCCCAGATGAAGGAACACAGCCCCAGACACTCCTCACGAGCATGGACTCCTATACAAACTACACACACCCAACCCAGATTCTCCAGACAAAGGCCAAACTCCAATGTTCTCCTGGGTCTGGGTGCTAGGGCTAGCCAAGGCGACCAATCGTCTGGGTGTCGTGAAGCACCAACTCTGAGAAAGGGTCCCTCACTTCCTACTCACTACACCCTGACACCATAGCAGGAGACCCTGACTCACAGCTGACCCTGACCCACAGACTGGGGTCCACATTACCTACATGTGCCTGGCAGCACACCCCGAGATGCCCAAGTGGGGCCCGAGGTGCTAGTCTCCACCTTCCCATGGGAGCAGACCCCCCATCTTCGTAACAAGTAACCGGTGGGACCCCAGTCCAAGGGCTGAGGGGCCCCCCACCCTGTGCTCCCTGGCAGCTTGTCACCCACCCAATGAGTCCCCTCCCCTGCCCCTCTCCACCTACACTGAACCCCATTTCCCACACAAGAACCCACCATTTTGTTTCCCTTCAGCCATCTTCTGGCTGCCTGTCTCCCAGCCTGCCTGGCCAGGACAGCAGACTGAGAGGAGAGGAGAAGCGGCGGCCGTGAGAGCCGGGGAGCCCCGGGGAGCCCCGCTGGCTGCCCGCTTTCTCCTGCAGGGCTAGGGGCAGGGCAGGGGGGCTGCGGGGAGCCACCGGGACACACCTCAGCCTGGCATTTCTTCCGAGCTGATACAGAGGCCCAAACGCCTCAGTTCTCCTCTGGTAACACGTAGGACACCTAGTTACACTTAAATTTCAGACTGAAGGATTCATGTTCGGGTGTGAGTTTGTCCCAGACACCACATGGCATGCACATGCACTGAGAAACTTCTTTTGTTGCTGTAGTTGGTGCTGGGGATTGAACCCGGGGGCTTCCTTGTGCGCGCTCAACTCGTGTTCTACTACTGAGCTGAATTCGCAGCAGACACATTTATTTTTAAAAATCACTTCGTTATGAATCTGAAATTCAAATTTAACTGGGTGTTCTGTGTTTTTATTTGCTAAATCTGGCAACCCTATTTCCCAGCCTGTGAGATGCTTGGTTGGTGGCCACAGTTAATCAACAACCCCAAAGCCTACAGGGCTGGCGGGAAGACCCAGTCCAAAGGCACCACAAGGCCAGGGGCAGGGGCAGGGGGGAGGGCTGGGGAGAACACAATAAAACTACACTTTTGCTTACAAGGGGGCAAAACAACACACACACACACCCCAAAAACATGTATAAGCACTCCTGGGCACTTTATGGGTCTGACCTTAAACCAGCCTCATGGGCGGCAGAGGGGAGGGGTCTGCAGAGCCCCCGTACCCCTAGGGTTAATTAAAGCAGTGGGTTTTATGTGTCACCCAAGGTCCCGGCACAGAGGTAAAATGGAAGCCCAATCAAGAGAGGCTGAGGTTTTCAGAGACGGGACGGGCAGCACTGCGTCTGGAAGCAGGGAGGAAGGCGAACCTGGGCGCATCCCAGCCCTGCGCCGGCCCGCAGCAGGCTGGTCAGGCCGGCTGGCCCGGGCCTGGCGCTCCAGGG